TTATTTTTTTTAATTTATCCCTCGACTTATCCTAAGAACTCGTACACTTTATAAAAAGACAGGTGATTTTTTAAATATTTTGTATTTAAGACCATAACCTTATTTTAAATTTACACTTACAACTGAAAAATTTTAAAACACACGTTATTTCAACGCCCTGTATCTCGCTAACGAAGCTGAAGTAATCTATGACCAAGACCTACATCTATATGGACTTTTTTTATTAAAAGAGGTCTTTTCTGAACTGTTTACAGTCCTGCTGCAAAAATGTGACCCACCATGTAAGTATATATTCCAATTCCAACAGTTGCCTACAAAGATACACTCACACATACACTCACACACACGCACACATACACTTTATTTTTGCATTATAAACAAGTTAGCGATATTAGCATTTCAAATAGTAATATTTTCAGTTTAAAATAATTTGTGAAACCAAATTAACTCTAACCAAAACATGGGTTAAATGATATGGAAATTTGAAAAAGAAAAAATATACAAGAATAATAATTGGGGCTGGTAGCGAATACAACGTACTTAATTTAATATGCTCCCCTAAAAATAACAGTTAAGTAAGTATGTAATTTTTTTCAGACCCCAGTCACCTCTATTTACCACTATAGAAAGTATCCCAACAAATTGGGGTGGATGTGTCTTAGTCATACGAACAAAATACAAACTGTTACATTTTGTATGAATTAGCTAAATAAGTACCTTTAAAATAGTGTAAAAAAATACGACAGTTAATATACGTTTTTTAAATTAAAATTGTAGAGAAAAAAACTGTTTTGACAATATACGATCAAAAAACAAGCAAAACACCATTATTAGTCAAGTTTCAAATGATCACTCTGTTCTCTAAGCTAGCTTTGCTTAATAGGACGCTCAGTATCCATTGTCTTCAAATCCTTAAGGTATTTTTTTTAAACATAATTAACATACTTAGTGTTTTTTCCTTTGCCGCTGCCCATTCAATTAAAATGTTGAATTCCCACAGCCTTTCCAACTAAATTCATATATTAATTTATTAACTTTATTCAAACAAGATAGCCTCCTTATCTAAAAAATTCGGAACTTTTTACCGGGTTAATGACACGATCAAAAGCTAAATTAGATCTTGAGATTCACGGCAAAAGTATTCAGAATTTTTATATAACCCAGGGTAAAACTTTCATACAGCGCGTAGATATAAACTAAAGATACCGACGCTATAGAATAATTAGTCCTATCTCCTTTAGAAAGTGTCAAACGTATTCTAGTTGTAAATTGTATGGCTTCTTACTCGGCACCTCAACAATAGCATTTTTGCCGAGATCAAAGATTATAAAACACATAAAATTTTCAGTATATCTCTCATCACATCTAAGAAATTTAAGAGGTCCTAAAACAAAGCGTAAATATGAAATTTCTAAACCCTAAGTAAACACATTTTTGAATACATCTACAACAGATATAAACTAGAAGATTAACGCCACTAAACTATATAAAATTAAACAATTTTCTGGTCAGATGAATCTTGTGGGAATTATTTGATGAAATGTTGAACGAAGTCTGCAGAAAGTAACTTAAAAATATTGAATAAAAAAGAAAACTGACAATTTCAATGCCAGAACTACTGGAACCTTTTTTGAGACATTATTTTATCGATAATTAAACAAACAAGAATAATGGACGTGAGTTTCAAGCGTAACAAATGATTTTATTATTGAATAATATATCAAATTACACCTTACAGAGAAATTAAGCGCATAATAACACAGTGAGTAAAAGCAATTATGGTGGCCGAATGATTGAAAATAACCAGGAAGATGCATGCCTATAAATTCATCACAGCTCAACTCTATTATGTGGAAGACCTATTTGAAAATAAATTGGAATTTTAATGTCCCCTTTCTATTAAACTGTACAGTAGACAACGAGATAAGTAAGTAATGATTAAATCATTTTCTAAAATTGAACCGATAACTTCCTGTCTCGTCGCAGTCAACGCCAAATTAGATGGTATTGCTCAGAAATTTACTTGAAATATAGGAGGTTAATAGGTACTTAATTTAGAGCGTGCATAACGATCTAAATTTGTATTTCCTGTCACAAAATTTTCATAATTATAACTGCATTCTCTACCAAATGTCAAGGCTGACAAATTCTCTATTATCATTGCACGTACCTATAACCTTTCTCAAACATGAATTTCTTTAAAGGTTTTCCATCCCGCAAGTGGAAGAAAAGTGTAAAGTATATCATCATAACTTTTGTTCTATACAGGGTAACTCAGAACTAATCCGAAAAAAAATACAGCCTCAAAATTACTGTCGATTTTGTTAAACATTTTTTTTTCTATTCCTTACAAAACACGGGGAAAAAATTGCTTGAAGTTGAGCAATAATTGAACGCCTATAGTCTTTTGTCTCGTAAGGCTTCGTTTGAGATAAAGGGTGTTAAAGTTAAAATCAAATTTCCAAAGAATGTTTTTTTGGATTTCTAGTTAATCAAAGTCACTTTACGATTCTTATTACATTTGGTAAATTTCCTGTACGTTAACTTAGGAAATAAAAGTAGCCATTACTCGGTAGATATGAGTTCTTGCCTCAATCCATTGGACCAAATTTTGGACATATCTATTTTACCAGGTTCAGTCGCTGACGCAGCAACTCGGCATTGAAATATTTGAAAAACTTGTTCCCATATTTATTTAGGTGGTAGAAATGTATACGCCTACTAGTTGAAGAATGCGAGCGCGGGCAAACGAAATACAAATACAGTTGCATTGGGCCACTGGACAATAAATCTCAGCCGTTGACAAATGGTCAACAAATTGCCCAGCAGTGCAGTGCAGCAGTGTGGAATTTGGTGTGATTCAGGTAATTTTAATTTATTATAGTCACCTTCTATTAATCTAATCATTGATATTACAATTGCAAAAGGGAGAAATATTATTACAAAATGGCTTTCTCCAACCTTTTGAAACGGAAGAAAACGAAATTTATCATCAATATAATAAAATTGTTTGAGGACATAAATAATATTATATGTTGTTGGCTAAACGAACACATAATAGAAATTTTCTGCACATTATATACAAATTATTATAATTGTTTACCTTCAACAGAAAACTTTTTTAGGGACGCCTATGAAACTCATTAAATTTTATTGCCAGGCGTTTTTTACATGTTCAACTGACTTCGGAAAGACTATACCAAAAGTACGGCTACTAGTATTAAAATCTGGTTATCACATTAGGATCGTTTCTGGTCTAAAATTTGATGAACATTTACTGTTCCCAATGAACAAAACAAAAAGTTTTTTGCTGGCAAATAATAATAATATAAACGTTTAGTTTAATCCCTTTCCATTTCAGTACAGTAAAAGCAAGAAAATAATTATTGAAAGAATTTACGTACTGTAAAAATTAATTGGGGGTAAAATACAGTTTAGTGTACATTACAAAAGTAGGCTAAATACGCAAGACCTACATAAACTAATTGAAATCAACCTTAACCTTAAGTGTTATCTGGCGAGTATTTCCACAAAAAATAACAAATAACTCGCATTCTTTTCAATGATCCTCCTTAAATATTTAAGATCGACTATCACGAATGTAGTTTGTAAGGAAATTGTTCTCTGATTAGTGGGTACTTTATGAAGTTTTTTCAAACATGTTTTTATTGTTTCTCTAATGATTAGATTTTGTGTAAGAATTATTAGATTACTTTTTACAAGATTATCAAAATTATGTACCTACCATCTGCCGTACTTGTTTTTATCTTCGATAGATACGTTTTGTACAAAGCAATTGATAAAAACCCATATGTAAATGCCTGACACTGAAAAATATATATAGAAAATGAAAAAAAGCATATTCGAAAAATAAAATCCAGAAATTTGGTTAATCAGTTATCTTTATCTTAATTCGATAAATCTAGATTAAAATTTATGTTTGAGGGAAATGAGAATTTATAAATAAGAATGATTACATTTACAACATAATACAACTAGACTATTACGAAAAAAACTGACAGATTACAAAAAATTGTAAGTATCCATCTGAGATAAAGAGCTATTTTGGTACAGAGATAGATATATCTACATAATGGGTAATTAGATCCAAGAAGTACGTACCTACATTTTTTAATGCAACTTTCTAGCACACTTAAAAATACTACAAATAACGTTATTGCTAACACTTTGACAGTATGAAAACAACACATTTTATCAGTCAAACTGTGAAGACACGAAAGTGATAAACTGATCAACCGAAAATTTTTTGTGGCAAATATTTATAAAACAATATTTTTTATGTAGTTGAACATCAAGTAGACATGATCCAGTAAACTCGATCTTGAGATTCTTATTGTGACTCAGTTTCGTACCTGTACTCGCACAACGTACACCTTAGAAAACCAATTAATAATGTATGTTCTACCCACCTATGCCCATTTAAAGAATAAACAGTAAGATTACGTATTTCTTATTATTGCATTAACCTTGCATTTTATTTATATTTATATCTTCAAGGGGAAACGGTTAACAAGATACTATATATAAATTAGGCGACAGCAAAAATAAAACACACGTTGAGAAAAAAAATAAATGTTATTAGAATTCCAGGCATTCTCAGATTAATTAAAAGATATTTTAACTGTTATTTTCGATGTAATGTGTTGGTCGCAGAACACCTATAATAACATGTGCAGAAACCGAAGCTTATATAAGATTAGCTATCTAAGAATAAACGAGTTCATATACCATTTACATATATGTATTACATTTACCTATCTACTTGGGATGTTTAACGGAAAAATAAAAGCACAGATCTAAAAATGACTCACACTGCCCAGTCGGTATAATAAGCAGTCATTTAATTGACTGCAATTATATTCGGTTCGGATTACAAAACAAACCATTTTTTGTGGCAAAAAACATACTATTTGCGAACCGAACCGTTTTTAGCACAAAAAATTTAACGATCGTTGAAAACAATACGTAAGTTTCCTTACCTTTTATTTAAATCACAGGCACAGGCACATTTTTGCAACTCGTAGTATTCTTCAGTACAAAAATACACTTTTGAACATAAGCACTTAAATCACCTGCACTCATAAAATCACTGTTAAAGAAGACACTTAAGTAAAGTTAGGTTAGGTTACTTGAACTAATACGACAAAAATGTATGATACTTCCGTTCCTGACGTTATTATTAACGATCTACCCAGTAATCACTATTTTACTAACGCCGTTGCAGGTGGTTTTTTAACGACTTAAAATCTTGTCATTGTCTCGAAAAGTTTTGTCACAAGTCAGTTAAAGGCAGTGCTGTGTGAAACATGAATGAATAAGAGTGAGGGGAATAGTAATTCTCAGAGTGCGTTCTGAAAACATGCGCAGCGTCCAAACCTTCGCTGTGCCGGTATTCAGACGTTTGTTTCCGCGGCAGTTTCTGTCCAATGGAATTAAGGCGATCCTCTTTTTTTCTTCTTTAGGCTCTTGAACTAATTAAATCGAATAGGTATAACGGGTAGTTATTTCTATTAATAATTTTAGCGTATTCCAAAAAATACGTGTTGAGTTACTGTTTTCTTGTTTGGAATGAAAGTAAATATGCAAATAAGATAAAGAAACTATAAATTATGAGTACATGTTTATTCTGCAAAGCTGCTAATAACAAATATGCCAGCGCTAGTGCAAATTTTTTACATCAGAATTTTAAAAGAACCACCTAGAAAACTAACTTACATGTACCTAATTAACAGTCCGCATAAAATTAATGAGTGCAAACTTCAAACACGTCAATATCTATTCGTTTAATTGTTACAGTGCATTGCTTATCTGAATAATATATATGCTTATAGTAACTGACAATAAGTTAATTACAAATTTTATAGGAGGAATTGATAGTTCATGATGAATTAAAATGTCACTACGGACACGAAAATTATATGAAAATAAAAATAAATACACAACTTTTGGTTTACAAAAAGTCATGTACTTTCCAGTAACAAAAATAGTCTAGGATCTAAATAGGTGACCAGATATACACAACTGTGTTAATAAGAATCGAACAGTGTGAACTAAGCTTTAAATCTAGTTGAACTGTCAATGAATCTATTATAGAGTATTTCAGTACAAAAAAATTAATAATAAAAAAAGAAAATATATTGCATAACCACAATAAATTGTGTTATCCATGGGTGGCCGCAGAAAATTTGCCAGGGGGTAAATAAGTGCGGACCACAAAAACTAATAAATTTCTGGATTTGGTGGCAGAAAATTAGCCAACGAGTAAGTTTAAATACCAAATAGGAAAAGTAATAAAAATAATGAAAACAATTTAAAAAATAATTTGATTTGATGGTTATGCGTTGAATGCAAAGGGGAGAGGGGTGCAGGGTTCAGGATATACCATATAAAGTAGTTAATATCGTTTCTGTCATTAATTTTCTTGTACTTTCGAAGTTTTATATAGTCGACGTTAGACGAAATGCTGGTTGCCTATATAGTGGGAGAAGTCGATTCCAGTGGCAATACTGGGTGCGTTCAGAAACAATGATCAGTTCAATAACTGCGACAAAGACAACTACGCCTAAAAATTATTAAGGAGTGACTACATAACCCAATGTGCATTTGCTGCTGAAAAGGACAAGTAGGAATATTTTGTGGGCATTCTGAGCAAGCTATCTTTCATCTTTCTCTATCTCGTTCTAAGTCACCGTCTAACTTCACAGGTTTGTGTAAGTTGCACTTGTTTACCATACGGACAAGCAGCATTCTATTTTGGGATGCGTGAGCATGTTCTCAGTTCGAATAGACAATTCTTTAGAAAATAAAGACAGTTGCTGTAGTTGTGGGTAGTTTGTGTGTATAATTTAACGTAGTATATTAGAATGAATAAGTTCAACGAATTTTTTTCAATTTCTTATGTGTTAAGTTGCAATTAGTGAACCGTATAAAGCGAGTTATTTTAACGGCCTACAAAATATTTCATATTTTTGTATGTTAATGTGAAAGTAGTTATTTTTGTTTGCAACAGTTGTAGAATTATTAGTTTTTGTACTGTTTGTATTTACACCGGTTGCAATTATGGATGAAAACGAACAAGAAACTAAATCACCTATAAAACGGCTTGGGTCTACACGAAAACTTCTAGTTTTTAATAGTGAGTACAAGCTTTTATTGTCGGCTTTTTTTTTAGTTCTCACCTGTTTATACAATCGGCTATAAACTACCTACATATTTGAGATTGCCTTAAAACGATTAGTTAGTAGTTTGTATGCACGTAACAATAACAAATTATTATTTAAGAATACATCAAGGTAACTTTTTGATAGCGTAAGCATAATTATCAGTTATTACTTTCGTTTCATCAAAAGGTATTTAAAAATAATACACAAACGTTTGCCTAACTTTTTAAAAATTCCTAATAACGTTTGCAGAAGCTTCTATAGTGATATGTTCTGACTAATCGCCTGATAAAAGCATACCTTAATTTTCCTTTTCGCTCTATTCTCGAGGCCGATAAAAGGTTAAAGCAATGTTTGACGCTTATTAATATTTTTATTACTTAATGTATGTACGTCCGGTTCACACGGATGTGTACATCAACTGGACAAAAGAATGGTCTGAATCTTCAAAATATTCAAGATATTCAGATTTAAGTAAACATTTCTGTACGGCTTATTGAAATTAAGTGATGCGTATGTAGTAACACTGAAAATTAAAAACCTACACAAGAAATAAATAATCTGGAAAATAATAATTATGCCATATGGTAAAAGCCACAAAAACTATACAGTATTTCCGTTACAGGATACTACCAACATTGGATGTTTTGAATTCTAGCCTTGGTAAACAGAATCAAGTCGGGATTAATAATTACAATTACGCTCATTAGCTGAAGACCAGCAGATTTTTTAAGCTTGAATTTAGACCACTTATATCAGCGTGATATCATTCACATTATTTCTTGCGGTTTTGGAATATCATCACGTTTCTTGGTATACATCGAGGTATTTCTCACAAAGGCGTAAAAAAGTACTATTATTTGTTCATATTCGCTTCATTTAATTAAGTATGGTATTAAACTGTACTAATTACACCGTAACTGTATTGCAAATCCAGGTAAATATGGTGATTACACGTTATTACGAGGACAATGTTGAACAACAACATTTACACCGAGCGTTCCACAGTTTAGGTACCTACCTTGACTTGAAATATGGAAGTACCTACATCCCACTCTGGCGCATTCTTCACTCTAAAGATTCAGATATCTATGCTGCTGCCTATTGTTGGTTTAAAGCAAGACCAACGTGCATTTTTGTACGATAGATATTTTACATTTAGTCCATTAGAAATAGTTGTCTTCGGAACGTCAAATATTAGAAATAAATGTGATTGCTTCTTAAACAATTGTCCTTTTTAGGAGTTTGGAAACGAGAAAATGTTGCTTTAATCCAGTGATAAATAATAACAGATACCAACCGTAAAAAGTGGCTTCTTTATGATGATTTATAAGTTTATAGCCGAATTTATAACCTTTCATTAAGATATATTGCTGAACATTATTCAGTGTATGTGCAAAACTATTTGTTTAAAAAAATGTGTAAGGAACAATTTTTAAGGCGGACACTGTATTTAAAATGGAAATTTGAACGAACAAAGTATATACATTTTTTTGTGAACTGGCTTGTTTTAGAGATATTTAAATTAATTCCACCCAGTGATCAGTGAATTAGAATGATTGATACGACTGGAATATCAGTAGTCAAAAAGTCACCAGTGTATTTTCTCATTTATTTTACAAACGAAAATCCGTGAGGATTCATTAGGAAGATACTCGGCTTCTCGACAAGAGGATTTGAATTAAAACAATGGAATCGAGTAAACATTTCGGCGACTGCAGAATTATCTAAATGCAGACTGACTAGACTATGGTGTACCTACGTTCAGTTCACAATGGGTATTATGTTTCTCATGGATCACTGGTTGCAATCAGGCTCATGGAGGAAAATCAATAATCGGTGTCGCGCGTTATTTTATAAAGTGTTATAAACTAATGCAATTTCAGTTAACACCGTGCCTCTTAACAGTACACGGACAATGGCAGCGTTTCAACTATTTGTTATTAATTTGTTTTACGTAAGTTCGTGTTTATTTTAAAAGTTTACTCGTTGAAGTTAATAGCCAAGCTTTTGACGAATTGCACATCTTATTTGATTTGTTTGGATGTTCACTTTCAAAATAATCAAAATAACAGATTGCACAACGCAGTGACGTACAGGGCATTCTGAAAAAGATGATATAGATTCAAAGTTTGGCTATACCTTAAAAAAAAACGTGTATTGCTTTGAAATCTAGTTAGTTTTAGAAAATAAACAGATTTAAATTTGTAAAATAAAAAAATATCTTAGTCAAAGAACTGACCTGAGAATAGTGATCCCGTTCCATGACCTCCTAGATCACCCGACCATAATTCTCTAGATTTTTTATTTTTGGGGGTACATGAAAGATTTAGTCCACGCATGTGTTTTAAACATAAGAAAACAACACGACTGTAGGAAGTGGTGTCAACAATATTTAAAAATAATGCTCACGTATTTTTTTATTTCCCCTGGACAAAAATTGTCTGTTATTTTTTATTTGAGCCAAAATTTGATGTTATAAAATCATTTTCGACGCTGTGTATATCAACAACAAAAGACAATGGGCCCATGGTTCTTTATCAGACTTCGTATATTAGTTAAAATATATTTAATATGCATAAAATATTCATCTTATAAAATTAAAAGCATTTATTAGGTACTGGATTTCGTTTGAAACGGTTTTTGTATGACCTCGGGCAAAAACGTTACAAATCCGATAGTTGTTCCGTGTTTCGTTGCTATGTTTAAAACAGGCGTTGCCTTTTATACGAATTAGCCTTTTTTGATGAATGGTGGTTTATCAAGACCACTTTGTCTCTACCCCTACAAATAGGGTTATCAGGACACTAGACGTCTATATATTAAAACCTTACTCCTTTTTAAACAGTAAAGTAGCATCAAACTTTTTTCAATATAAAATATCATTTTTATTCGCTTCCTATACACAAAGTTCTTCTCCCTGTATATTTTTATACTATTTCATATACAATACCGAACGTACACGAACCAGTCACAAAAAACATTTTAATTTTTGGTCACACTTTCTCGACTTATGAAACTACAACACATTTTTTTAATCGGGTTTTTAATGTTATTTTAACAGCGCACACAGGTCAAGGTAATATTTCTATATTAAAGAGAGTAGTAGTAACTCGACTTCTTACTGGAATTTTAAACACGATATTAAAAAATTATATATCATAATGGCAAATACAAAATTGATTTAGATCAAGTAAGATTTTTATGGTTTGCTTCCATCCAAACGTTTGTCATTCAAAAATATTCATCAAAATGTATAAAAAAAACTATTCTTTATAAGTCTCCGATGTCAATTGAAGAACCGAGAGGTTGGCAATATGTACCAGGTTCGGACGCAGCAACTCGGCATTGAAATATTTAAAAAACTTGTTTCCATATTATTTATTTAGCCATACCCATATACAGGTCTGGTCGAACTAAATGTGGAAGTGGTAGAAATGGTACCAGTTGAAGAATGGGCGCCCTGGCAAACGGTATATAACACAGCCGCACTGGGCGACTGGGCAATAAATCTCAGTTGTTGACAAGCGGTCGACAAATTGCCTAGCAGTGCAGTGCAGCAATGCGGAATTTGGTGTGATTCTGGTAATTTTAATTTATTATAGGCACCTTCTATTAATCATTCATATTACAATTGCGAAAGGGAGAAATAAAAGGGATATTTTGTTTATAATATTATTACAACATGACATTTTGGAGACCTTTTGAAACGGAATAAAACGAAATTTACCCTCAATATAATAAAATTATTTGAGGACATAAATAACTAAAATATGTTCACCAAATGAACATATAATAGAAATATTCTGCACATTATATACAAATTATTATAATTTTTTACCTTATTTAAGGACGCCTACGAAACTCAGTCAATTTTATTGCTGGGCGTTTTTATACATGTTCAACTGACTTCGGAAAAACTATACCTGTCTAGATATTTTAATATTTTTTACATACCCTTCTCCATGGGCGTCCGCAAGAAATCTTCCGGAGGAAGCAAAGGTAAATGAGGACCGAAAAAATAATTACCAAGGATTGCGTACAAAAAGTACAAAAATCAAAGATGACCTTCATTATTGTTTAAGATGAGAAATATTAATGGTAGTAGAATTAATTACTGACCGGCGTTTTTATATGTATGCATATTATATTCCAGCCAATTACAATAGAGCTTTATTACAATTGATGAAAAAAATATATTTCTTTGGAAACTTCTAACTCATGAGTATGAGGTGTAGTTTTGAAAGACATACCCATAATTTTTCTATGTTTGTCTGTCCCTGAAGTTGGTCGGTTAATTCCAGTGCACCCTGTATATCTAATAAATGTCTGGTAAATTTCCTGATTCTACTTATAATATTAAAGTTATATCGACTTATTTCCAACCACATTTTCTAAGAATAGAGAACAATTTTCTTTCCTAACCTTTGAAAATTGATATGAAAACATAATTTTCCTTGACGCACTCGAGCCAGTGGATATAGGAGTGATACGGATTTATTTCCCATCCACGCGTTATAGAAATAGAGCATTTTTTTGGGTGCCAGGCTTCATGGTAATCGTTTTAAGGAACATGGTTGGCTTTGTTATGACAATGTTAATTTCCTGTTAAATTTTCTTTGACGCCTTCGAACTCGTGTAGAAGTTACACGGATTGATTTTTCATCTACGACGCATTTTTAAAACTGAAAAATGTTCAAATTTTGCGTCGATATAAAAATTGTGCGAAACCTAAGATCATATTTAATATGTAACATAAAATTCCTGATTGTGTTAATATTTACTTATTCTTATCGGTTCTGCATTTTTTCAAGCTTGAACACTGTTTGAAAGTTTTAATCTTCACTCACACTTTGTTTATTTCATTGTAAGGACCACTTTTTAACAACGTACAGTTGTGAAACATCAGGTCTCGCGTGACTGTAATTCAATACAATGGTTAAGAATATTCTAAAGTTTAATTGTAAAGGCCAGT